ATCTAAAATTCTTTATTTCTTTCTCCAAGCAGATAGCCATAAACCTATAATCTGCTGGGACATGAAGCACTGGTATCAAGCTTTTTACCACATCTGCATGACTAATCAAATGTACAGGAAACCATTCTATTGATAGCATTAACCTTTTAATTAGAGATGCTGTCAAGGGACTATCAGACCTAAAAGCCTAAGTATTTTAAAGGAGGGCCATGCAGGGTCATCACCATCAACATCATCATCACTAACCCCCCTCCTCACGGCTTTAAGTGTGGAGAAATTAAACTTGTCATACCCTGTGCTGGATTTTATTGTAACTAGAATGATGGTGTTGGTAAATGCCAATGATTGGACTCCCTATTGTTTGGTCGCTTTAGTACTGTGTGACATAATATTTCAAACCCAATGCTTAAGTTGTTAGGAGAAAAACTAGCAACGTTGCCGTTGTCATCAACATCTCAATAAGTTCCTGTTTTTTGGCTCTAATAGGTGTTTTTCGTTATTATTTGGAGGTTAACAAGTAGTAGCAATTTTGAATTAATTCGAGAAGTGCATGTGTTCTGATATGTGGCTGTCATCCACCTAACTCTTCTTTCCTACTTTCCATGTTAGGATTATGAGGCCAGAAGATACATAAAATCAGATAGTTGAAGTGGAGGTATATTCATTGAGTGAACATATTTTATCGTATATGTTTCTATCCGCACATATAATGATAAACTATTATTTCTTTCCTTTCCTTGACAGAGTGGGACACGTACAGAGGATTACCTGCAGAAATTAGACAGAGCACTTGAGGCATGTTAATTCTTGCATTGTTACTGGAACCTTGAATGTCCTATTATATTGGCTGGCTTGAATAATTTACTGCCCAACAATTGTTATGAATATCAATGCAATTTTTAGTATTTTATTCTAGCAAGGGTAGGCAGAATATTTTGTCAAGTTTCTAATTCTAGGTGATCGCCAAAGTTTAAAATGATTGTTTTATGTATTGATTTGTTTCTTTCCATGTAATTAAGATTGCTGGCCATATGTTTGATCCTGAGTTGGTCGTTTATAATGCTGGAACTGACATTCTGGACGGTGATCCATTGGGAAGGTTGAAGGTAATGTCATTCATGGATTCACTTCATTGCAGTATAAGATGAACCCCCTAAACTTTAATAGCTTGGCCATTATTTTCTTGATATGTGGTTTCCTTGAGAAAGTTGTAAGTTGTTAATATGGGATTGCGTTTATTGTTGGTTTTTTCATCATTTTCTACAGTGGTTATTATAATGGTTTGTACATGCAGATCAGTCCTGAAGGAATTGCTCTTCGGGATGAAAAGTTTTTCAATTTGCGTGTGAGAAGAAGGTTCCAATTGTCATGCTCACATCAGGTCATTCCCCCATCCCCTTTTCCCTCTCCCAAATATAATACGAAACACAAGGGCCCTGAAAACTTTTTTTCATTGGATCCCATGGGCATGAAAACCTTTTATCTCTTAAAAATGACCCGAACCTAAAAATTATAATCACATTAGAATGTGACTGTTTTGCAGTAAAATAGTCATTTTTTTTTCAAGTCACTGCTGAATGACCATATTTTATTCTTTTGCCTGTTGTGTATATTGTTCGGATCTTTTCAGTATCAATTTGATGATAGTGGGGTGTCCCTGATAGTTCGTCCCGATCTTTTCCATATTCCATGCGGAAGTAATTGTATCACTGGCGCCAAGATTACTTATTGTAGAACTTGCACGGAACACTTCTTTTTAAGTGTTTCGTCAACTTATCGCAATGCCTTGCTGGTCTTCCATTTCAGGTGGTTACATGAAGTCCAGTGCAAGAGTCATCGCAGATTCTATAGTCAATCTTTCGAATAGATGTTTGATCGATACTAGACAAAGTTCAAAGTTTAAATAAGATGCTGTGCAATTCCAGGTCCGTGGCCAGAGTTTCCAAAGCATAATCTGGATCAGAATGTTGCTGTATAAGTTGAACTTCAGTGTATAGTTTCCCCCTCCTATAAAGGAGGTGCAATATAGATCTGAGTTGCTAGTTTTTATCTGTTGACGTGAAAATGGAGTCTGCATAAATGAGTTATGTTTAGTGAATAATTTTTCACTTTGAAGCATTCAATCAACTCACCCATCATCTTCCAAAATCACCTCTGGTTATCACAACAAAATAAAATAAAATAAAATAACCTCTGGTCACCCTTGAAATAGACGATGGCAAGTTAATCACGTGACAACACGTGGGCTCATTTTTCCTTTTTTCAGATCAGAAGACATGAATTATAAATTTACATGCATCATAATTATTTGTTTTTTTTTTTTCAATGAACTGCCATATATTAACATAGATTCTCTCTGTAATGATAAGAGGATCCCTTGAAGAGAGAGACTGTGTTTTACCATTTTCTCCGTTTTAGTGGTTCCTCTACCCACTGAAGTAGGTCTAGATCTGTCATGTATGGTGCAGAATAAGTGTAAAATTGAGATCAAATATCGGAAGGCTCTGCAATACCCAGTTCAGCTCTTCCATGACAGAGTCAATGGCTGTTTGACGGAGGCCATATATCCATTGTTCTTATACTTAACCCCCGCCGAACTTGATGAGCGATGACTATTTCAATGACGCGATGACAAAGTGCATTACCTCAGCATTTGAGGCAGGACATGACTGTTCGGAAGAGAACTTGCTTAGTTTAGCTGAGAAACATGGTTTCTTTGTTCTGTTCATGTCCGCGAGATGATTAAAAAATTGTGCCTAACACGACGTTAGGAATATGCCATCATCTAGTTGATCGGTGGACGTGATCGACCATTACAATGGTTGATTGCTTCATTTGAAAGCGTGAAAAGGTAAATAGCAAAATTTATCAATCAACTCACAGGAATAAATGAGGATGGAAGACAATTGACATGGAGGCAATGAAAAGCTCACGTTCGCACTCACGAGAGGTGACAGACTATGCGGGAGCTGTCGGCCATTGAGATATGAACCGAACAGGGTCCTATCTGAAAACATTTGCGCCTCTTCTCTGATAATTCAGGGACCGATCTGAAAGGATTATGCTAATCAATTCTGGGTCCGATCTTTAAGTCAGTGTTCTTACTTTTTTTTTTTTTGGACTGAAGGGCAGTGTTCTTACTTTTAATAATGCATGTAAAATCACACGCATTCACGGCTACATACATAAAAGTTCATACTCTCTCATAAAATTTAAATTTAATTAATTATAAATATTTTAGATTTCAGTTTCCAACTTAATTGAATCAGATTAATCAGTCATTTCACATATCCTTTATTTATAAGAATGATAATTAAAATATCCTATTTTTTTCCTTAAATATGGTTACATTATATTTAATAGTTCTTCCATTTAAAAATTAGTTGCCCTTCATGTACTTCAAGGGAGATTAATCCCACCACCACCCCACCAGCAGCAAAGGATGCTCTTCGTTTAAAGAAAATTGTCGTTCATTTTTCTATCCTATAAGAAATTATATCTTCTTTTTAAATATCATACTAAGAATGACTAAGTTGATGTTAAACTGAATATGAAATATTGATTGTATTTTGAATATCATAGTAAAAATGATTTTACAAGTTTTTTTTTTAGAATATGAATTTTCATAAGAAAACTAATTTCTTAAAAAATTATTAAAGAATCAAATCTTTATATGTAGAAAATAACAAAATTAATTTAACAAAATATGATTAGAAATAGTGTGATTTACCTCTTTGGTTGAATTAGGGAAAGAGATTTAGAGAAATCCATAGAAACAGAGTGAAATTTTTATTATAGGAGAATGTACTAGTTAATTTTTTTTAACAATGTACTTATTCCGATTTTTAATATAATAGTTATTGACTTATTTGAATAAATTAAGAAAATTAGTTATATTAGTTATTTATAATAAATAGATATTTTTCCTGAAGTATCGTTACTAGTCAAGTGTGTTGGCTAGAGTTATTATTATTATGATAACTATTTTGAAAAAAAAATAGATAAACATAAAAGATAAAGTGCATTGGAGTTTTATATTTAAAATTAAAATAAAAATTAAACGAGCTCTTATATTATATTATGATTCAAAAGTAATACTAGTTTTTTTTTTCTGTCTTTCTCATTTTCCCTTATTTATAAAGCCATTTTATGCTATTCATTCTTGTCAGGGGTGAGTATTCGGTTTTTCAGTTCGTTATTAGTGATAACCGAATTAATAGAATAATCGAATAAAGTAAATTTTAAACACCGAACTGAAACCGATAACCAAACTAACCGAAACCGAATTAATCAAAATATTTCAGTTCGGTTAACCGATTAACCGAAATATATAAATATAAAATAATTTTAAATTAATAATAATAAAACACAATTACAACAATTAATTAATAAATATTTTATCATTTAATGTGATTTATTACAATAATATTTACTATAACCATATTTATTGAATATAAATATATTTAAAGAGTTCACATAAACCCCCATATATATTTATTAAACATAAATATATAATATATTTATTTTGGTTTTTCGGTTATAATCGAATTCTTTTTTTACTAACTGAACCGAACACCGAAACCGAATTATTACAAAAATAAAACCGAATATGTAACCGAAAACCAAAATAACCGAACCGAAAAATGAAATTAAATTCAGTTTCGTTTGGTTTTCGGTTACAGTTCGGTTTTGCTCACCCTTAATTCTGGTCATAAACTTTTATATCATTTTCATGCATGTACATTCTTTCCAATAACTTCCATATAATGTAAAAACTGTGGTTGCTAATTAAATAGAAATATATATGGGAAAATAAAAGAGTGTGATTATATTAATCACCTGAATTTAAAATTGTTAGCCGGATCAAGGACAAGAATTTTACAAAATAACCACCGGAGAAAAGGGTAGCATCGTCAAACGTTGATTTTGCGGCAAGTTGTCGTGCAATAAATTATGACTGCAAGTTGACCCTTCACCTCCCTGTCTCCCTGGTCCTCGTTGTTCTCACTTCTCAACTGCCCTCATCCTCTCTTGGCTGTTCCGTCGGAGGGCGCTGGTCACCACCTCAGAATCCGCTGCTAAACGGCCCTGTTCTCCTTATCATACGGTCGCCGGCGCAGCAATGTCGAGAAGTAGATCCCCATCGTCCTCTTATCACTGTCAATTGCTTGTCGTATTTATTCTTCTACTTCCTTTCTTCTCACTTGCTTTAAGGCCAGTTGTACCGGATCGGCTTGACCTTGTCAATACAACTGAGTCCAATGTCTCTCTGTCCCGGCCAAGAGAGGGCAGCTTCGCCGACATGATTGATCGAGCTCTGGAGCACGAGTTCACTGAGCCCGATCAAATTGAAGGTTCCTGGATTCGAGTTCCTTTTGTCTGTGTAACAGTTTTTGAAAATTATCTATTTCAGCTTGATTGTATGCTTCCTGAGGATTTCTTATGAAATCTTTACTATGCTATTTGTGCCATTTTATTTAATCTCTCCAGATCATGAAATCTGATCTGTGAACATGAACCATTTCCATGTCCTCTCTGCTCTTTGATATTTCCCTGGTAAAAGGAAGATTCTTCTAAATCCAAATTATGTGCATAGCTATTTTGATGCGGCTTATTATTTTGCATGTCATCTTTTCTCTTTTCCTTTCGGGCGCGCGCGCATTAATTTTCATACTTGATATATGTAATTGGAGAAATTTCAAATATGTATATCGTTACATTTATGTTGTCCTTTTGCCTCTTCGTGCCAGCAGTACCTGATAAAGGAGGCTTTAACAACAGTGTAGCAGAACAGCAGGTTTGTTATATCGTGATCCTTGATTTCAAAATTTGAATAATGATAATATCTTGATTCTATTTGAGATTATTACATTTGTTGATGAGATTGGAAAGGGTTATATTACGAAGAACACGCATTTCACATTTGCTTCATGAGTCATATTCTGTGACCAACATTGAATCGTCTTCATATGGTATTTTCCGCGAGGAAAGTGCGAACGTAGATTCTTTGAATTTGTTATATCTCTGGTGTGCACGTCTCTCCTTGCTTTGTGATGTGAATTTTTCAAAAGAGTCGATCTGGCTGGGCGTCCAGCCCTTAGTTTGTGATTCCCTAGGCTTTAATCTTCTCAATTCCACTTCCATTCTATCAATATGTTAGATTTTCTGAGTTTGATAGGATGCTGAGTGTTTTTCATTGCCTTATGTGTGGACCAGGCAGTGCTGGAAACGGTGGCCAGAGTTAAGCCAAAAAGAATGACACGAAAGAAGAAAAGTACATGTTTCAAGTTTTAAATTAGTTTGAGTGTATCTTCCAATCGCACGAATTGGCTTTCTGCAATTGAGCACTTAGTACGTACTTTTGTTTCAATACAGATAAGTATGCTTTTCTATTCTAACAGGTCATTTCAATTCCATCATGTATTCAATTTGGACAATGATAATAGAGCCGAAGATACCCCCATGTTAATAGATCGGAAGGTGAGGTGACACGTTTATAGGTTTTCCCTTTTAGTGATATTCAATTGGGTGTCTAAATTCTGAATTCATAAATTATACGCTTTTCTTACAGGACAATGTATTTATAATTTCTAACTTTAAATCCAAGTATCCAGTGCTGCAGCTAGATTTAAGGTAAATGTAATTAACTCTCTCTGTTTTCTAAGTACGTAGACTTGATTACTGATGTGAACTTGTTTTAACGATTGCATTGTAGATTAATTTCAGACCTTGTAGTTGCAATTGTCTCAGCAACTTGTGGCGGTGTTGCATTTGCCTTTGCTGGACAACCGGTCTGAACATTCTTGTTTTGAATTTAAATCTTGAGAACTGCAATCTTTGGTTATGCTGTAACATCTTTTTGCTAGAACTCTAACATAACAACCCCAAACTATAATTTTACAGGTTATTACTGGATATCTGCTAGCAGGCTCTGTAGTTGGACCTGGGGGTTTTAACTTCATCAGTGAAATGGTGCAGGTAAAAGAAATGTCAAAGTCTCTCTTCACCTTTTTGTTTATATTTATCAAGATGGGTCTATCTACATCTTTGGTACACTTCAGTTGGACTTTGTTTTTGTGATGTTCTTAATGCGTGAGAAAAGATGATTGTAACACCTGACTAAATGCTGGATATTTATGTGCGACAATCTTGAAGCTCTGTTTCTTGTCCAATTATCTTTTATGCATTACACTTGACCAGACATGACCTATCAAATGAGAAAGTTATTGAAGCAGAATACAAAAGTGTCATGCTAGCGTCTAAAAAGGACGTCATAATATGATTGTAATGCTTATCAGGATTTCAAAGAACATTAGTCTTATTTCCTCTGGAACTTTGTTCCTATATATATTGTCCATTGTATTCATGGCATGCTTGTAATTATGAGTCATGATACACATTACCGCCGAGTAGTTATCCTTAAATCAAAATAAATACTGTTTACGTATGTAGGTGGAAACTGTGGCTCAATTTGGTGTAATATTTCTTCTGTTTGCATTGGGCCTGGAGTTCTCCATGACCAAGGTTGGCTTATGCTTCTGATTACTTTTTCTTTCCTGTTATGCGTTTATGCAGTAACTCTGAATTAACTACCTTGTACCTCTATAATTTCAGCTTCGAGTTGTTCGAGCAGTTGCTGTTCTAGGAGGCCTACTTCAAATTTTTTTATTTATGTGCTTATGTGGAGTTGCAGCCTTGGTATTATTTTTTATGTTTTTAATTTACACTCTGAGCTTTCTCTTTGTTATTCGTCTTTATCACATTCAATTACTTATCGTGAGATTCAAATTGTAGAAAGCCACTTTTATCATCACAAGACGTTCATGCCATATTTTTTGGTTGCTATCTAATTTATTAACTACTTAAATTGCCTTATTGTCTTTCTTTTTCTTTTTGGATAAAGCTTTTGTCATCCTTTTAGTACAAAGAGGCTCTGATTCAAAAACCAAATGGTCAGCGACATATTGATTAATATGAAGCATTTAAGTGCTTGTTAAGTGAATCAAGGATCTTCAAAAGGCCCCAAAATTAAGTAAAAATTGGTTGTTTTAACTTGCAGTAACCCACATTTTGTGGGAAAAATTGAGTGACATGATAAACGAAGTATAAGTTTTTGCCTCTTCTCATTATCTATCTTCTTTCTGGGATGTTTTCTCTTCTATATTTTGCAAACTTTGTGATGCTTGATGCTCATGGAAACGTAGAATGCTTGACAAGTAACACAGATAGGGGGAAAAAACATTTTTTCCCCCCATAAAAATACGATGTAAACTTGATGGATATAACTCCAGGGAACTGTATTATTCAATGAAAAAGACGCAATCCACAGGGTATAACCTAATGGAATACAATGACTCGAGAAACAGTAACCTAGTGCATTCGAGAGCACCACTCTCCTCACCACTCTCTAACAGATTCCATGCCTTCTCCCACAACCGACTCTGACACATATCCCTCTATCCTCTAACTGTCACTTACTTAATTACCACAATTACCCTCGGACCGAACCCCACATACACACGGCCCTTTACAAGTTGGGCTTCATGACTACTTATGGACTTTCTTCCTCACATAGGTGTACTGAGGCCCGTGCTCAACAAAACTCTACTCAAAAAAAAAAAAATGATGTAAAATATTTTAAGCCTAAGTGGTGGAACTATGATCAACTTGGTCATGAATTCTGATGGTAGCTGGTGTGTTCATTTTGTTACTTCTTTTCCACCTTATATCTCGTGCATAATTTGATTGTTTTTTCTTCTATTAAGTAAATATCTCTTCTACAAGGACAAGTGGACTTTGATGTTTAATATTCTAAACTCCATCACCCTTGTTGTGCTATATGCAGTTATGTGGTGGTAAAGCTTCAGAGGGAGTCTTTGTTGGTTCTTTTCTTTCTATGTCTTCAACTGCAGTGGTATGTTTAGACTTTATCTGATCATATTCCTATATTGCAGTTTTGAGGATGCATTTTGGGATTCCAATAAATTGATTGTTTGTTTTGTAACTGTTAACTGTGTCCAGGTCTTAAAGTATTTGATGGAAAAGAATACCACCAACGTCCTTCATGGACAAGTCACAATTGGGACACTTATTTTGCAGGTATTTGTTTGTGGATGAAATTGTTTTTCTTCTTTCTCATGCTTTATTCATTTCTGCATTCTCTATTTTGCCTATATAGACAATGAACAACTTCATCATATGTTCTATTAATTCTTGTAAAGTTCTTTTGCCTTAAAGGATTGTGCTGTTGGACTGCTATTTGCATTGCTTCCAGTTCTTGGTGGCACATCAGGTGTTCTTCATGGGGTGATATCCATGACGAAACTGTAAGTGCAGAAAATCTGAAATCTTCAGCTTTTACGGAATCTTTCACAACTTGACCGCTTGTTGTACCCAAATTAATGTAATTATAATTTATTGTCAGTGTAGCATTAAATACTTCTGCTGTATACGTATGTAGTTAATTTATCATATCATCACTTTTGAATTACATGGTGCCTTAATCAGTTAATCTAATTTTTTGTACATTGAAGTGAGGAGCACCTTGATCTAATAGGAAAAATATGCTTGTGCCTGATCCTTTGAAATTTGAAAATGTGTTGCTGTTAACATAAACTATTCAGTGGCACATATTTGCTTATGTTTTGTATGGTAATTTGACTTTGATATCGGGTTTATTTGGTTTAACAAATGAATACCTAATACTAGCTCTACTTTGCCTGGAATTCAAATTTAGCGTGACAGATTTTTTACATGTCTTTGAAGTTGAAACAGCTTGGAACCTCTTTAAAATGTTAGATCAGTTCAGTTGATTGTGTATTCAATCGAATGTCTGACATAACATACCCTCTAGAGCTTTTATGTGACATTTCCGTGGTGTGCCTTTCATTCTACAGGTTAGTGACGCTGATTGCGTTCCTCTCAGTTCTGTCAATTTTGTCTCGTACTTTCCTTCCATGGTTACTTAAACTAATGATGAGCCTATCATCACAGGTTTGTATTATATCCTACTTTAAGCTTGCCATCACTTATGAAAATTGAGTTGGAAATAATGTTCTTCAGAAAGTTTTACCATTTGATTATGTATTTTTCTTTGAGTGGTATCATGATAACCTCCTGTTTGTGCAGACAAATGAACTCTATCAGCTGGCATCGGTTGCATTCTGCTTACTTGTAGCATGGGTTTGTTCACCTCCTAAATCTTCATCTCACTACAGTTGTGCTGTTAGAAATAAGGAATGATAGAAAAGTGGGAGCATATCCCCTTCCTCTCTTAACACCTCCATTTTTCTTCTTCCTCCTCCTTTCTTTTTTGTTCTCTCTACCTCTTCCTTACTGCACTATATGCTGGCCATTTGTGGGCTGTTAAGAATGGAGATTTAGGGGGTGTTTGGATAGAAACAAAATCATGGTTTTAAAAGTGCTTTTACGGTATACGAAGTAAATATGTGGAAGAGTTTGTCTCGATTTGCAGAAAAGTGCTTTTGAGGTGTTCCAAACACCCCCTTAAGTGTCTAGGGTGCACTTTCTTCCATTGCTTGAGTTTAGTATCTTGTATTCTTCCCCCGCTAATACCATATATGCATGCTATTTCGTGTCAAGTTCCTTGTATTTGATTGTTTTTATGTTTTCAGTGTAGTGATAAGCTGGGACTAAGTCTAGAATTGGGTTCATTTGCTGCTGGAGTGATGATTGCAACCACTGATCTAGCTCAACATACACTAGAGCAAGTAAGGTTGCATCTCCAAATTCAGAAATTATTATGAGCAGGGAATTTGTAACGTCTCTGTTAAGCTATAATATGTCTTTTTTGGTTTTGAGGAGACATGGCAGGCTTATCGTCATAAATTGTCGCTGGAAATCTGTGAGACGTATAGACATAGCAAATCTAGAATTTAAGTTATTTTATAATTATATTTAATTTTAATCTGAAAACTTGGGAATTTAGTTGGATTAGGATTTAATAAGATTTGCCTTTTATTTTAGCTCTATCTTATCTTTTAGGATTTATTAGATTTAGATTGTTATTATTATTATTTTAGATAATCGATATCTCTCTCAATTTCCTTCTATTTTTACCCTTTCTTCTGAAATTTTCTCCCCCTCTCCCCCACCCTTCACCGTCTTACATCAGTAGTGTAATTTAATCATCCGCAATGGGGGGTCAGGATGGCAGCCATATGTGGAATCCATGCGAGTCCCATGCCTATAGATGCGATCCTGGCTCTCTGTTGCAAACTCTCCAAGTGCATGATAGAATGGCTTGTATAGAGAGTGAACGCGATGTTTGTAAGTATTTTTTTTAAAAAAATTTTGTGTTCATTAATTCTGCATACTGGATGATTTTTTTCCTCATCATGTGCAGGTTTAAATTGTTGAGATTTTCATATAGAGCTCGTGCATTTTCTTTTATCTATACTCTGTTATCTTCCACTTCTTTTTGCCATTATTGTTTGATCTTAGCTGTACAATCTTTTTCTCACCTGCCTAAGAAAAATGGCAAAACTTTGCTGATTAGTTCAAGAATCTAAGCTCTTAACTGACAGTAATGTTTGGTGTTCATAAAAGCATTTGGAAGGAACCTGACCCCTGTTGCTCAATAATTGTGCAGATTGAACCTATTCGCAATCTTTTTGCTGCTCTTTTCCTTGCCAGCATTGGAATGCTGATCCATGTTCACTTCCTCTGGAGCCATGTTGATATATTGCTGGCATCTGTTATTTTGGTCATTGTTGTGAAAACTGTCGTAATTGCTGCTGTCGTGAAGGGGTTTGGATATAACAACAAGACCTCAGTTCTTGTAAGAAATATGAAGTGATTTCAAGGTTATACTGTTATGTTTCCATCTTCTAGCATCTGAGATACATGAATTCATGAATATTTATAGGTTGGAATGTCAATGGCTCAAATTGGAGAATTTGCTTTTGTTCTTCTCAGCCGTGCTTCGAATCTTCATCTAGTGGAGGTTAGTGCAAAAATGACTTTTCGTTGTGTGACATTCAGTTGCTTCATGTTCTTGTGACATAAAAGAAATGACCTTGCTGCTATTGCGGTGACTATGGCCATCGTATTTAAACCTCTTTAAAATTCTGAAGTTTACATGCTTGGACAAGTTAGATCTGTTTAACCCATATGTGTTGATGCCCACTGAAACCTGAATGCGTAAATATCAAGAATCAGCATGGACTTTAATGCAAATCTATTTTCAGGGCAAACTGTATCTGCTTCTTCTTGGGACCACAGCTCTAAGTCTGGTATGTAATATTTTTTATTTTGTTTGAATTAACATTTACTGGCATATACATGATCGTCCTTGGGTTGCTTAGTTGTCTGATCCACAATGAATGTTAAAAAGTGAAACAACATAAATATTATGCCCAACTTCACATTATATTATACGAAACCTTGTATAGTATTTCAGTGCTTGGTGTTACTGATGTCTTTTGTGAAGTTTTAATCCCATTAATAACTCATTTCCCTCATTTCTGCAGGTTACTACTCCTTTACTTTTCAAGCTAATCCCTGCTGTAGTGCATCTTGGTGTGCTATTGAGGTGGTTCTCTCCTGACAGTTTAGTGGAGGTAATCATTTATACTTAAAATTTCAGTTTTTAACCGATAAATCTGCTATGTCTTATATGTCCCTTCTGAATGTAGATGGGATTTAAGGTGGATACCCTCCGGTCAGAAAGTGGTAAGCAGAGGATCATTTTGATGGACCAAGAAGCACATGATTCTTAGCACTATTCTGGACAAGGGATTTCCACAATTGCATGTTAATTTTTGACGGGGTTCTCCACGATGTTCAAAAGAAAACTAACCTAACTAACTGCGACTTCTTTCTCGAGTCATTTGAACTCTTTCCTTGGTGAATACTTGTGTACGTAACTGACCAGCAATCAACGCATCATCCAAACCCCAGTAATGGAAGAGCAGGGGAAGATGGAGGATAAAAGAGTTAAAGAAAGTTAACTGACAAGAAGGCCTACGGTTGAAGTTATCGGGCTGCCATTCATTCTTATACTCTACGTTACATTCTTTTCTTTTTCTTTTTCTTTTTTTGGGTTTTGGGTTGGCGGGGAGTGTTTGTAAATGTATTATATGGTTTTGTTTTTTTATGATGTAATTTGAAAGGGAATTAGCCATCGTGCTTGGTAATTTCTGATAGCGTAGCATGAATATATCAAATGTTTCTTTTCTAGCCGCTTCCCCGCTGTCAAATGTCAATTGTATGATTCAGGTTTTTTTTATTTTGGGGTTTTCCACCCGTATTTACCCTTTTTCTATCTGATGGAAACATGCCCACCTTTCACTCTCACAATAGAATTTGAATTGAACCTGCATCTTCCCTGTTACAAGGGGAGCAAAAGGGTCATTGAGGCTTATGAGGTATTAGCGATTCGGCCGTGGCTTTTCAAAAGCAATTTTGATGCACCTGAGATTTTATGAAACCCCACGCGATTTGATGTTTTAATCTAATAAGCACAACTAACGGAGTGGGAAGGGGGGTGGTTTTTTCTCCAATTTCCTTCACTTACTGTCTATAATGACTAATTTTTAATATATCATAATAATTATTATAATGTTAATTAAACAATCATACATCACGTAGGTATATCTTTGTTAAAATATTTTATAATTCCTCTTCATTTTTTATCCTCTGCACTCTGATTATGATAGTATTTATATACAGGTTAAATTTGTTTATACTTATTTATATTAAATAATAGTATTGTTATAATATATTAAACATAAAACACTGGACGTTTATCTAATGGGAGAGATAGGAAGTGGAGGAAAGTAGAAAAGAAGTTAAGTGGAGACATTTCTCTTCACGAATCAAGATTTGAATTTTTACTAGGAACGGTATTCACATTTAGTGTCCGATAATATCTCAAATATAATTGATTTCATCGTTAAATTTGATCTCATTTTGATTTTGATCTCTGAAATTTGTAACGAATGATTTTGGTTCTTGAAATCTTATTTAAGAACCCAAAAATGCTATTTTAAGGACAAAAATCTTTTAGCATGCTATAATAATGTCAAATTTTAAACCTACATGTCTAAAGGTGCTACTGAGCACTGACTCATAAAAATAGTTTTTGACTCTCTCAAACAAGTGATCATTTTCACTTCGATCTCAAATACAAAGTCGAAACTCCATTTATATTAGAGACAAGCTCCAAGGAGGCAATAGACCTCGTGAACCATAATTAAAACATTGCTACCAATAGACTCTCTCTAGACAGAAATCTAAAAGTGGTCTACCTATAAAGATATTAATAAAAATGGAAAGCCATTTGAGACCGCCTCCAAGTGAACACTGCCAGAACCGAAGGAATTTATTATTGGTTAAAAGATTTGTCCTTTTAGCTGCAGCTCCTCTAATTCTTCTGTCCACATATTTCATGATTACATTGAATCTAGAGAGATTTGAATTTTGATTAGTTAAAAACGAACACACTAAACTAAATATTTTCTCTTCCCTTTCTTTCCGTGCATCATTGGATTTTAAAGGAACGCAAAGAACAAAGTTGGAAACTCAAATACTTGAAAAACCTCATGGTTAGGACTATTCTCTCATGTTTGCTAGTCCCTATGAAAATTTAGGTGCAAAAAATAGCCTTATGCAAACAAAGATAACATACATTGATAACAACATAACTTTCACCGACACCCAAAGAGTCAAACGACATCACACTGACATGTCCTAAAAAGTTCCTTGGGTTCTAATCACAGGGATATGCACACTTATGCTATATCCTGTCGACAGTGAGATCAGATTAGAAGTTGATACGATCGACCATAGTGCATTCAACATCCTAGTTTTTAGATTGCTGGATTAAAAAAAAAATCAAAATGCTGGATACCAAAAAAAAAAAAAAGATTAGGGTGCTGGATGCGCTAAGAAAAAGAAAATCAAAAGTGGTGGATACACCTTTATCCTTTTTTTTTTTTTTGCATGGTTTTTTTTCCTATGCTCTTGGTGCATATATGCTTCTTGGTTTAATGAACCTAATTTTTTTCTCTCTGCTAAAGGTCTTACCTGCAAAAGCTGTATATTAGCATCCAAGTTGGAAGAAATTTTACAATAAACCATTTCCATGGTTTAACCATGTCTCATGCGTCAAGTCATCAACTATGAATCCCTGTTGTTTTAAGTGCTCCTTGGACAACAGAGGCAATCAAATTTAGCTTTGCCTACTTATAGCTCTCACAGGAAGAGGCAAATAGAAATTAAAATATGCATAATAGAGTTATAATACACTAATACGTATATATATGTAGCAGAACAAGAATTACAATCTCGGACGGTTATGTTTAGATCATGTACTACGTACATATATAATTACACGTCAACTTAAAGAAAATGTGGAGCCGCAAGCCTGAGCTCTAAATCAGGTTCTAGGCCGTGAAGAGCGTATTTTGGTGAAGAGGCAGCCCAATTGAGCACTGAATGATAACTTGAAAGGCACCGAGAGAGACAAATCCTTTTGCCATTGCTGTAGCTGCTGCAACTGACATCGATATTCATAGTCTCAGAAGCCCCAGCAGCTTCAATGGGCTTAGAAAAGCGCGAATATTTTACTGGTTCGACTCTGTTATTATTTTGTCCATCCATCTGCCGCAACATATATATAATCAACACAAATTCTGAACTTAACTAGAAAAAAGGGAATGGTGAAGAAGTAATGAAGTACTAACATCAAGGAGCGTTTGATAGCGCTTTCTTTTATTGGCGTGATTCTGACGGAGGAAATATTTCTGTGCATGGCTGGCCACTTGGGTTGGTGTTCTTGTTGTCACATAATTCTTAGAGATGCCTCTCCAGTCACCCTTCCCCAGCTTCTTCAGCCCTATCAGAAATATCCGGTGCTCCTCCGCCGTCCATGGCACTCCTGATGATGATGACCACAATTACACAGAATCATTATATTATACAGATGGGTGTGTGTGTGTGCTGTATATGCTGTGCTTTGCATTTTATTCTTCACCTTTATTCTTCATCTCCTGGGTTCTTCCGGCTGAATAAGAATCAGACATTTTGTGATCTGAATTGTCCTTGGGTTCAAGCGGGGAACGTGAGGAGGAGGAAGATGAAGAGGACGATGCGGTAGACATGAAGGTTTTCTGGGAAGACGGCAAGCAGTCCACGCTGAAACTTCTTTTGATGCCATAACTGTAATTAGTAGGTGAAGACGAAGGAGGAGGAGGAAGATCAAATTGCACTCCAAAGATCTTGAGGCCACCATCAAAGCCAATTCTCTGAATAATATTACAAGTCCTTGAATTGTGGCCAAGGTTTCCACAATACGAGCATTTCCTGCCCATTTTCTCTGATCGATTAATACTCAGAGAATGAAAAGCCAGATCAGATATGCAGACGAACAAGTCACACACAAATCTCTATCGAGTCGTTTCTGGTGGCAGTATATATACAGAGAGAGAGACACACACACACACGCAAACAAATAAACAAACATGTTAACGAAGGAAGTGCGGTAAAAGGGTGCAATCAGGAAAGGCAATAAAGTAGAAAGAAAATGATCAGAACGTAGTTTTCCATTTGTATTATTCCTACCCAAGGTTTTGCCTACAACAATAACTTAGAATACAAAAAGAAAGCCAACTCCTGTCTCTCAAATATAATTAAACCCCCCTCTTTAATTATTTTTTACAAAAAGTTTATCTTTAATATCTCGCACCCATATATAATTCTAAGTGCAAAGTGAAGGCATGCCAGGTTTTCCACCAAATATATTCTCCATCCCATGCCTTATAGGCTGTATGTATTCAATTTATTATTTACCACTGTTTCCCCCTTTTTTCCGAGTAACCAGTTAAGTTTTCCCATATGTATATACGTAAAAATATTTGAAATACTCCTCCCGTCCTTAATATAAGACCCATTTAACTAATTTAATTAGATTAAGGAAGTTAGGTAAATTAGTTGATTATAAGAAATGTGATACATTTTTCCTAAAACACCATAATCATATTTCTCAGTACATTCTCTCCATCTTCTACTTGATCATGGTTGAGAGAGTATTTATAGGGATAATTTAAAGAAAATTAATAAATATGAGAAATGAGTATTATATTTAGCACCAAAACCAACTCAATAATTAGGTCCTATATTAAAGGACCAAATGAGTACATCTAATTACCAAACTCAAGTTTTCCCCTCTCTTCGAATATATGTTACCGAAGAAACAATCAATTAGGATAAGATCATGTATATATATCGGTGTTTCTTCTTGTTGGCAGCACTAGAATCCTTGGAGAAGTATGTCTTGGTCTTTTTTTATTCTTCTAAATTGTTTGTTGTATTCACCTTTTTAACACAAATACTCTTAAGTAGTCCTGGACAAAAAAAAATTATATAAATTATCGGCAAATTTAATGGCACTAGTTAAATTAGCCAAATTTCTTGATTTCTGTTAAGTGCATGGTTATAGGGGGTCCAGTACATAGGACGAGAGGGAATAATTAGTAGAAAATTTAGTTTAGGCAACACGCATAACTGAAGAAACGGTTGTTGAGGGACTGCGAAATCCACCAAAAATGTTTTAAATGAAGTGGGTAGGCGAAAGGTGTTGAATAAAGGATATGGAAAGAGAAATCTCACTGCGATTTTGCATCAAGGAGGCACTTAATGGTGATAAACCACCATCATTAGTTTGACGTTAATTTGGTGACTAATGTTAAATCATTTTGATTAATGGCAGTTTATGTATTTTAGACCCTAATAACAAAATCTTGCACTCTGATTTCTTGTCTTTTTGTCTCTTCATCACCCCTACTGCTTTTAGTCTTTTACCCTGTGACCAGTGCCATCCACTTGACGGGGAAGGCCAAAGTTTCAAAAACAGGATCATATAAATATAATAATCATATAATTTTTCAAAATAATTAAATTTTAGTGCAATGCCTGCCAAGTTAACTTTTTTTTTTTTAATTTGGTTTCACTATAAACAATACTTTTACGTCTTACAAGATGAAATTCTTTTCATGTATTTACCTCATGCCAACTAAAAGGATGTCTACACGTTTTTCTTTGCCTGTATTTTTTTTATTGGTTAATGTTTCTTGTGACGAGAGATTATATCATAATTATATATATATATGAACATGATGAGATGACTTTAGTTGCAACTGCGTTGTCATTTAAAGGCTGAAGACCAATGGGCAGAGATAGATTAGAATTAGGTACGCATGATTAGCCTTTATTAACTTAACTCAGATCACTAAGTTACGAAATCTTTATTATTTAGCCCAAAAGCCAAATCATGCTGTCCTTTTCTTGTGTTTGTGCATATCTTTCCATAATTCACTCATAGTCTCCTGCACTGTTCGATTCCAACCATTGTGATTTGTGACCATTGACGATACACTGTTGAAAAGTTACATTAACTTAACCTATTCAAGTTCAAGTTGACGATTATAATTAGCAAAGTTTTAGAAAGAAAAAAGCGGGTTGGAGTGCCCCTTTTAGATTTGCAGCTCCAAAAAATGGTACTTACTAAAACACCAGTATTGACTTCAGATTTTTTTTAGCTTTTTACCATATTGATTTAAAAATAAAAAAATCATTTTTTTCTTTTTAACTACTCTAATATTCTATTGTTTGTTAAGTTTTCTGGCTGATGTGTATGAAAATATGGAATTAAAAACATTTGTTTATCACGACTACCTCTTATGGGAGGTGCAAAGCGTGAGCCGTCATATGATTGATGACGTCATTGCTTTGCAAAATTAAAATCCAATAATTAACCCACTTAACCCAAAATGAGTTATTTTCTACTTCACATAAAAATAAAAATAAAAAGGTTTATGCAAGATAAAGCGCTTCCATCGACAATCGACAAAGTAATTTTCAAAAAGAAAAAAAGGAGGAAAAAGGATTTCGTCATTAAACAAGTTTAATCAGGTGGTAAAATGCACAAAGCATGCGTTTTGGAATATGCAGTTTTGTGAAACCCGGCGGCGTATTCTGGTTTTCGTGTAATTTACAATTACAATTCCGAATCCATATTTACGTCAGCATTTCTTTTCATTTCTTTTTCAATGTTGGAAAGTGAGTGGATTCCTCAGCGTCACTCACCATTGTTTTTTTCTTACATGTGTTGATTTCTAATTATTTTAAGAGAAATCACCCCCCCCGGTGGAAGATATATTTAGAAATTTGATGATAGGCCGTATAAATAGGACTAAAGTTTGTAAATTTAAGTTTGAATCAAACTTGAGTTTGCAAACGTAATTAAAAGGGGAACGAATGCTTGGAGTTGTTCGTGTGTTAACTGAGGTTTTGAGGGGGAAGCACATGCATTAGATGAAGCAGAGGAATGGATCACAGAAAATGCGGCTGGTTTTGAGTTATTACCTGCAATTTTTAATATAATAATTAGTTTAATTTTTAATTTAATCTTAAATATAAGACTCTAATTTATTTTGTCTCTCATATTTATTTATTTTTTAAGAGTAATCTTTATAATAATTACACATACATGTTAAAAGTTTCATCAAATGATAGTTTTAGCTAACATTAATGAGAGTATTTTAAGAAAAATAATACTTATTTATTATAAACAACTAACTTAACAAACTTTCTTAATCTACTCAAATTAGTTAATTAATTCTTATATTAAGAATCAAATGTAATATGTTTGGACTTGCGAAACTAGAGATAGATTACGCAAATCCTTAATTAATTTAATTCATTAATTAATAATTACTCTTCGTCATGTTGCATTTTTCTGATGGTAGCTGCCCCAAATCACAGCATACATTATATCACAGTGCATTTCCAAGCTTCCTAATTGGGTGGCTGAGAACATAAGTTCATGCACTTTAACTTACTTTTATTATTATACCCTCGTCGCCTTTATGCTGCTTTCCAGTGCTCCTCCGACTTTGAACGACCTTCATTTGCTTAATGTTTCATCTCTCTTTAAAATCGTCCTTCAAAAAACCCAGATTCATGTATATTCACATATATATATATATATATATATATATATATCATAATTTTTTCTGCGTATGACATGGCAGGGTCGTCAACATCTAAGCATCCAGCGCAGACCGAAAAACCTTTTGAGAGTTGGGCATAGTGCACTGACGTCTGACAATCGAGTTTTAACTTTTAGGTAATAATACATTATTTCATAAAATGATCATAAAAAGCAATTTGTTACCCATGCGCTTCACATTCAATAATAATTAAGTGATTAATACCAATAGGCGTTGATTTTAGTGGAAGGACACTTGGCTACTTAAACACGAGATTTTTAGTACAAATTCATATAAATATTAAAAAAAATTTGTTAACCCTAAAGTCTAAACTCTAAAAAAAAAATATTTGTTTTAAAAACCTACACCTTTTTTTGTACAAAAAAATTTAAATGAGTTGGGTTCGTAGGCTTACTAAGATCAAGGCATGACTCTAAGCTCATAAAATATTTACAAATTACCCACTAACAAGACCTTCATATTAGTAATAGGATTTGAATTCATGATTTTGTAAGTTATGAGTTAGTTTCTTACTAAGCGGATCAATTCTTATTGGTTGAAAACCGATAACCTGATAATACTTGACTCTTGCTAATATATGACATCCTCTGTGTTCCAAATATTTGTTCGTTTTTTTCATCTGCAACAAAAACCGTTGTTTTCCTGCCATCGCACAGAGCAAAACCAATAAATGAAAAGAGGGCCAAGGCTTTGGTCAACTTGGGCTGGGCGAAATCCAACGAGGCCCACCAAAAACCGACAGAGGCGTCCCGGCGGGGCAAGCCGATCCCTGATTCAATGTCTTCACCACAACAGTTGCATCCTGATCAAACGTTTGCATAAGGGTGCAAATATGAGTCGCATGCTCCAGAATCAAGGTTCCTCGTTGTTTCTTCTAGTTAATCAGCAGCAAATAGCCGAATATATATATAGTTAAAAAAATTGACCTCGATATATGTATATAGAGAGAGAGAGTTAAATCTGATAAGAATATTCCACCTATATACTACCTTAAATGTAAGAGTTAGTTTGACTTTTATTTTGATCCTAAATATAATATTCCAGTACATTTTGTCTTCATATTTATCTATTTTTTAAAAATAGTCATTAATAGTAGTCCTAGCTAATATACTTGATGAACAGGTATATTTTAAGGAAGATAACATATATTTATGACAAAAAATTAACTTAATTAATTTTTTTATTTTATTCAAATTAATTAACTAGCTTTTATAACAGTACTAAGGACCGAGATAGTATCATGTTTTTATGTAATAATATGATGTCCTATATTAAGATGTTAGATTTAAATGTTATGGGATTTAACCAAAAGAACCCAGCAATACAAGACGTATAAACCGGGCCTGCCAGGCAAGAACATTCGAAACAGCAACAAGAAAACAGGTACGGTATAAAGTGGCAAAAGCTA